GCTGGACACGGGTTGCGAGCCGGACAATATAATAGAAAAAGCCGGCCTCTATTAACAATATGTTTACTCACCCGCATCATTATCATTCGACTCTGCGACTCTTTTACATCATTGACTGGCTTCAACGACTATTGCCGGTTCAGTACTAAGCCATTTGGCCAACCAACGAAAAATTTTGGCTGTCAACTGACTGCGAATAATAGAGTGCAAAATCGGTCTATACGATGTATAGCCGACTAGCACTACAGTTCAACGGAAGCAACGACAGTGTTCTAGGACGTGGTGGGTTTTCGCCTGGCAAGCGTTCTCCCTATAAAAAGCCACAAATGTCCGCTTAACAACACTGCAACGTGGCGGATGTGACTCGCCACAAAATAAAGTCACTGCTATACATTTCACACTGACGCAGTCCTCAGCCTCCAACATCGAACCTGTGCAACTGATTTTACTATGAAGAATGCTTTAGTGGAGTACCGATCATCCCGGCTTCGTAATGGTCATTGATTGCACTAAACCTTGTTCGGGCTCCTGTGCTCATGGATCACAACATGTCAAATTTACCCCCCACTTGTATCTTGACGCAATAGTTTTTGCGCGCCACGGCGCCATTATGATCCTTGGTCTGACTATTACCTGACAATATGCTCGCTCTTATGGACTACATCTTTTCGTTTATTCCTTTCACTGTAACGAAATGTTTTAATATTCCAAAGATGCTGTGCTTGTATGCATATTTGATCATGCCTTTTAGAGGTGTGTCTCGTTTTACAGAGAATATACTATTTATTTATTTATTTATTTATTTAAAAGTAGCCGTATGAAAGGGATATCTGTTTGCTTTCGGAAAGTAAAGTAGCAGACAATTAGGATTTGCTTTGCCGACCGGTATTTATATTTCTTGATTGTAGGGCAGGGTACATTTCGGCAAGCAGTTGGACCGGGCTTGTCGGACTACAAGAAAACTGGCTAGTCCAGAAAAAGGCAGAAAATCTCAGCCTCCGCTGCTGTCAACCGGTGCGCCTGGGGTATCTCCCCCGGCCGCATCCCGCCCCGTGCCAAGACGCTAACGGGGACAGCCGTAATGGGCAACCCAGCTCTCCGAAAAATGTTTCGCCACCGTTTCTGAAACCGTTAGGTATGGGAATAGCTTCCGGTCACCTGGTGAACCGATCGACACAGGTCAGTAAATACACAGAGCCTTTGGAAGGCGGAAGAGTACCTATCCTTGGTCTGACTATTACCTGACAATATGCTCGCTCTTATGGACTACATCTTTTCGTTTATTCCTTTCACTGTAACGAAATGTTTTAATATTCCAAAGAAGCTATGCTTGTATGCATATTTGATCATGCCTTTTAGAGGTGTGTCTCGTTTTACAGAGAATATACTATTTATTTATTTATTTATTTACGTGGTCGACGTGCACGTGATGAAAACATGCGTCCGGCGTGGGAAAGATGCTTAGTTTGCTTCTCGTGTGTTTGCGCACCTTCTCGCGTTGACACGGAAGGCAAGCAGCTACCCAAGTACGGACGTCCCGATTAACATTGCGCCAAACGAATCGTGCGGTTACCAGTTTAACACATGCACGAACGTCTGAATGTGACAAGCCGTGCAACGTGTCGAACAACGTCGGCCGAAACTCGCGTGGGACGACTGGGCGCGACGTGCTCAGATATAAATCGCAAAATATAGTGTCGTCTGATGTTGTCAGCGGAACGGCTTGTATGTCCAGTGAGGGAGACCTGCGTAGTTTAGCAACCTCAGGATCGTTGCGCTGCGTTATGACCATGGCTGCCAAGGTGATAGCGGTGCCGGCATCAGCGGAAATATCTTAGCTGCGGGAAGTGCATAGGCGACGGCGTTGTGCACGCATGAGACATGCCGTATATCGGTCGTAAACTGAGCGATATAGTCAGGGTGGCGAGACGCTCTAGGAGAGTATCGGTTGGTAGTCGAGCCCAGCACGTAGGTCAGGAGTTTGTGGTCGGTGAATACGGCAATGGAGCGGCCGTCTAAGACGTGTCGAAAGTGACGTATCGCTAGATACACGGCTAGTAGTTCTCTACCAACGCACTGTAGCGAGATTGGGCTGATTGTAGGCGGTTGGGGAAAAAGGCTAAGGGCTGCCACTTGTCGGCTTCTCGTTGCTGAAAAACAGCGCCGGATGCCACGTCCGAGGCGTCAGTACTGAGGGACAGTGTGGCGACCGGATCGTGATGCGCTATAGAAGCTGTTGACGATAGCCTCTTTCAGCGGCTTAAAAGCGACTCGAGTTGCGGCAGGAAATTCGAATTTCTTGATTTTCCCTCGGGAAAGCTCCGTGGGGGCTTGCCTCAGCTAGGAACATTTGGGTATCAACCGTCGATAAAAGTTGACATGCTCACCAAAATGCCTGAGCTGTCTGAAAGAATGTGGCTCTGGGTAGTCGATGATGGCTTGAATTTTACCTTGCAGTGGCACGATACCTGCAGAGGAGGTACGATGGCTGAAAAAGTTTACTGAGTCGACACCATGTGAACAGTTTTCTGCTTTTCTTGTCATCCCCTGTAGAGCTAAATCATCAAAACGTGTTCGCACTTGCTCTCCTCTTGATGAGCTCGTGCTTAAAACGTCGTCCATCCAAGCGTAAGTGATGTCTAAGCCGCAACAAACCTGGGTCATGAAGCGCTAGCAAGATTTGCGCGGCGTACATTAGACCGAATGGCATGCGCAGGAACTCGAACAAGCCGATTGGAGTCGTCACGGCAGGGTTAGCGATGTCTGTTTCGGTTACCGGAATCTGGTTGTATGCACGTACCAAGTCGCTTTTTCTGTAGATGGTTTAAACTGCAGACTGTCGGTGAGCTCCTCCATGTGTGGGATCGGATAGCGATCGGGCGTGGTAACGGTATTCATGGTGCGCTAGCCGCCGCAAGGACGGCAACCCCCTGCTCTTCAGCGGGACCATGTGGAGAGGCGACGCTCATGGGCTGTTGGACGGTCTGACGATACCGAGCTGAAGTATGCGCTCGAATTTAGATCACGCTGCAAGTAGTTTGTCTGGAGCAAGCCGTCTTGGCCGTGCGCTAACTGGTTGACCGCGCATGACTGTGTACAGGGAGCCCTCTGGCGTGACTGGTGGAAGCTCTGCGGCCGGTCGAAACAGTCGCGGGTGTTCGGAGAGGAGGCTCAAGTGGTCGGACGGTGCGTCGGCTACCTGAACTATAGGACTGATTAGCGGGGCATCTGAAAGGACGTCATCAAATCCTAGTTTTCTTAGGCTGATCTAAATTTGTGGCAACCGGCGTCGTCAGACAATCCGAAAAGGCGAAGAAAATGGATGCCGATAATTGCGAACGGGACTGACGCAACCGTGCAATCACAGTGAAAGTCTCTGCGGAGTTTTAAATCTGGGTTCATCGTGCGCTGTACGTATAAACTATCCGTGAGCTGTTGGCTGCCCTTAGATTGTACGTGGGCTCCTATGCTTGTCTTGCGCGCTGGCAGGCATAAAGCTCACTTCGGCTCCTGCGTCGATACAGAAAGAGAGGCGGGTGCGCCTATCCTTGACGTAAGACAGACGGCTTGTTTTGTCGCTACCGGACTCGTGGGCAGCATTCACTTGGCGGCGAAATAGTTTCCCTGTGTCACTACACCAGATTTGGTGCAAGGTGAAAGGCAACATCGAGCATTTTCACCATGCTGGAGATGATACCAAAACAAATCTCCATTAAATTGGCATTTTGGGCTCGGATGCGAGGGGGTGATGTACTGCGTCTGCGCGGTGACTTGGATGTGTACGGTGTATGTTGGGACTGAAAAGCGCCGCGACGAATGGCGGCTATTTCGTGGTCGGCGTGCGGTTTCAGTAAGCATAGTATTTCTAACTGCACTATTGCTAATTCACGGCGAAGCGCTTCTATCTCTTCATCTCTGGGGTCTGCTTGCGCGGACGCATTCGTACTCAAGTCTTTGGCAGCTGAAGTGGCGACAATGTTATTGGATGCCGTCTTGTGCTGAGGGATGCTCTCAAAGTCTGCGCCTGCGGGTAGGCTACGCGCATTAAAGGAAGAGGATCAGGTAGGCCTAAGAGCCGCAGCTCTTTTATTGCTTCTTCACTAATGTAAGAAGAGCCAGCTACCTGCTGAATATCGCGGTGCAAAACTGAAGGCCTGCGATCGCCTAGCTTAATGCTATGAATGCGTTGCTCCAATCGAGCACGGTCGCTGGGTTGCGACTGCTTTAGGATCAATTTCCTTCATTGCTTCGTATTTACCGTCTTTCGGTGGATGAAGCAGTAAACCTTCAAACAGCCACCACCTGTTGCGGAAGGCATGTTGGCGACTTAGTTGTATTTAGCTTGATCGGCAGAAATCCCTCAGGTGAAACTCGACATTGTAGGAACAGTTCCCACATCCAAAGGCATTTTCTACATACTGACCATGGCGGCTTGACCACCTGCTGGCCAAAAGCTGTTATTGCGTCCCTAAAGCGCGTCTTCGTCTGGCGCTAGTTCGCATCACCAATCTGTCCAGCCACCATGGCTACCGACCGTGACCCAAAATTAGAATCGTCGACTTTCAACAACCTACTCAAAGTCTTTGGGTGTAAAAGTTTTCGGAAAACTGCCTACTACCTCGCTGGTCTTCAACGTTGTTAAGATCTGGCCATTTGCCAAGCTAACACGTGGCGCTTTTATCATTTTGCTTCTATTCAACTTTGCCGAATTTACCTACACCACTCTCTTGTTCCAGGTATCCACGTTCCCACAGTCAACTCGCTGAATTCTGGTGCTGAACACCACTACTGCGTCGAGAACCATAACATCTGGTACCTACCGAAGAGATCAGGACCTTGCCGTAAGATCCCGAGGCAGAACCACCGAAAAGCTACGCTTACTCGTTCTGCGCAAACCCGTGAAACCCGTGAAACCCGTGACCTTGGTTTGTCCTTGAACCGACTTGACTTCTTGCAGTACGCAGACACGAGGCTAACGGGACCGCCTCCAGTCTTCCTACATGGCGGTAGTAGAATCAGCAGATAAGGCAGATGCCTTTAAAGAAGAAGCCAACAAATTCTTTAAGGGTACGAACGCTGTTGTCGGTTTTTACCTGATTTGCTTGAACTGCAGTTCCACCTTGCCCTACACTTATTTCGCGACATAATTATGTTGTCATTTTAGACGGAGATTACGATAAAGCTATCGAAAAGTACACTGAAGCTCTTGCCGTCAAGGAGTCAGCGGTATACTTTTCGAACCGCAGTCTAGCTTACCTTCGTACTGAATGTTTTGGTTACGCTCTCGAAGATGCTTCGAAGGCGATTGCTCTAGACAATTCTTACATTAAGGTATTGTTGGCGATTCATGTTTAATTACTCCAAAGGGATATTATCGTAGGGCCATGGTTTATATGGCATTGGAAAAGTTCAAAGAGGCTCTGCAGGATTTAGAAACAGTACGTTTATCCATTGTCTGCGACACGCTTTATTTTGAACTTCATATCCCATTCCCTTTCTCGCACATGCCTTTGGATTTTATCCCGGTATTTGAGGTACTTATAAATATTTGCGCCTAAGCCGTTCAAACACCATATTGCTTTGCAATCCGTACGCCTCCTGCCCGTTAGAGCAAAATGTTTTCCAAAAAATGCAATGAGCGTTTATTTGGGCAGTGAAGTCCTCACACTCTGTTCAAACCTTATCCTTTGCTTTGTTAGTCCCTCATTCTTCCTCATAGTAATATGGATCCCATTATCACGTACGTTTTGATCTTCGTTTCAAACTAAATGCATCGATAAATGACCTGCCTAACTTTAATTCATTAACTCGCCGGAACTCAAACGTGCCCCCTACTACAACTTAAACCTCTTTGATGTCACCCTTCACAGCCTACGGTTACAAGTTCACTGCAGCAAGCGGTTGCCGATATTGCGTACTGGGTTTACATAGCGAAGTTGACTATCTGTCTTCTAACAAGTCAGGTTTTATGTCATGTCACTACCATGTAGCCTCACATAGCGTTCTGTGTACACTCAAGGTACCAACATCTTAGTCTTCTCTCACGTTACTTATTGAAATGTCACTTGTAGCCTCTCTAAATACTTCATGCATATTCACGAGTCCAACCGAGGCCCATTGCTACCTGGGTTATGCCATAGGGCTTTCGATACACATCTGCGTATTGTTGGGACGATTTCTTTCAGTTAGGTACAACACAGGTATTTGCTAACCCTGTACTGCAATTCTCTAGACAACATCATACTCGCTATTTGCATGCTGTGGCACACAATACTTATCCAGTGAATTATTTCGTAAAATTTGTAGCTCGGTTCATTCCTGCCCTGAAATTAAATGGTAAGTACATATTCCGGACTCGGCTATGAAGGTATCAGCAGTACGGCGGTACACAGTACCGATGCTTCGCTACCACGCGACCAGCAAGTCACATGTTGATACTGCGAGGGTTGCACGTGCCCCATACAGGCTGGAACCCGGGCTCTCGGGTCACAAGGTGGGCTTTTAATCCTTGAGATCATGGGCCATCAGATACAGCTGACATCCAGCCGTACGTTACTGGCGGATTTCTTGCTGGTAGCCCTTAACAGAAGGCACCTTATTGGCGCCTTCAAAGCAACATGCAGGCCCGTACTTACCAGTCAGGTAGGCTAGGCTTCAGTATCCTGTTAGGTAGCACTCGGAAGTCCTCCTCTACAAGCAGAACTATCACGATGATAATAGTCTCCAGCGTGTTGCGATGTCTTGCGCACGTTCATAACCCATTGAGCTACCCTAAGCCAGACATGGTAAGTATAACAGACCACATCAATCAGCATAGCTTTTAGAGCTTGGCGAAAGCCCGATGGCCCTTTTTCTTCGAAATGCGCCTCAGGCAAATCACAGAGAGATTGTACTCACACTTCTGAACCGGACATCCACACTACTACCTTCCGGATCAGACTATTAAGTAGATGTATCTTAGTTTTGTTACTTGCGTAAGTCTTCTTTTGACTTGTCGGGTCAAGCTGGATTGTCGGCCGGCGACTTCAAGAATCAGACATCCTTTTGTAATCCAGGCGTCACCGGTTCGGATCCGCATGTAGGTGCGCGCGGTTGGTACTGGTCGCATGCAGCGAAGTGGATCCAGTTTGCTGGCGTACTGCTGGTGTCATATTCTTCTTCAGGTTGGTGTTGCAGTACTTCCAACAGAGCTCCTCTCAGAATGAGCATCCGGATATCATCGTACACACACAAAGCAGCGTCGCCAGCAATCTTTCATACCCTTTTTTCCTTTTCATCCGTCTACCCATTTTTACTAGCAAGAGATAACTATCAACCCAACTTTCGCGGAACATTAGCTGAGGTGCGTTTCTCGACCTTAGCTATTGTGTATTGCTGATGATAACCCAATAAGTTGCGATAGCAACGAAGCGCATTTCTCAAACCCACAGCGTTACTCTACTCTGGATTTTTACTTGTCTATACTTTTTGTCAGATCGAACACAAGGTAACACTCCTTACGACTTTGGACTTTCGGAGCTAATATGTGCCCTTCCGAAACACAAATGCAAGAGTAGTATCCTATTCTATCTACGCTTGCCAGACTGTTTCAGACAAGCTTGCATACCTCGTATCCGGCGACGCATGATTCACAGCTCGCTGTATTCACGATCTCGTTTGTCATCGATCAACCGGTCATCGGTTGTCAACCCTCATTCCCATCTTACAAAGTCCAGAGAGCTTGTGAAAATGGATCATTATCAGGTTCCGCACTACTGACACGCATCTTACTATGGGTGGTCACTAATCTCCATGAGAAGCGAATCAATAAATGCCAAGCTTGCTTCTGCGGCCCCCTGTAGGCGATGCATTCATCACATTTCTTCTCTTTACCATGTACTCGAGCGTCACCAACCCATGACGGTAGTCTTCTCTGACTTGAAAGCTAACTTTGGTTCGGTTGGTCGTGACTATGTCGATGCCACGTTATAAGGGGTGTGCTTGAGAAATATCTGTCTATTCCAAAGTCTCCCGGGTTCATGCAAATTTACAGAGAATTCTCCCCTGAGTTCACTACAATAGATGGATTACTCCTGCGCTCCCCTATCTGCTGCATCAAGCAGGGTGGATAGGGGTTTGTATGCTACTGCTCAGGCCTTCCCGTCTTCTTATTCCTCTTACACTTTTTCATTCTTACGTCCCGCTCCAACTTCACTTCTATCCTCCCGTTTTCAACCCCCAATTCTTGAGCTCCCCCACCATGCTTTGATAAGTGTGTCTTGTTTTAATTCACATGCAAACGCGGTGCGTCACTTTTGACCAACCGACAAGTCCATGTCTAACCAAACAGTCAAATCCACTTCATAGGTTCCTATTTAAAGCCAAGCCCGTAGATTAAAGGGAACGAGCTTGTCATGTAATCTGACGGCGCGGGTTCGAGCCTGCGTAGGGGCAGGGTGACCCTCGCAATCTCCTTAGCCACCGTGCGACTGGTGGTGGTTGTGCGGCAGGGAAGCGTCGGTACTGCGTACCGGGGTACTTCCGATGCCTTTCTTTTTCTTCTTATTTGTAGCCCTTGATCCTCCCTCAGATTAGCATATTTCACCGTACGCACATTGTTACAGCTTGGCCAATAGGCAGCACTTGACCGAACAATAGAGATTCTATCGATCGATATTTGCTACTTATCGGAAACCCGCCTGCAAGATCCGAGCTTCGTGCTTAATCTGAGACCCCCACATGCGACACTGGTGGCACATTCACATTGCACCTGTCTGGAGATGACGCAGCTTCAAGTGCCAGTCAAGCTGGCATGGGCGTTGCTTTGAGCCCTCGGGTTAAAGCTGCCATGATCGATTGGATTCCAGTCAACAGTCGAATGTGCGCCGTTAGATTGGCTGGATCGTTTCAGACTTCGAAGTCGCGCGGGGACAAACAATGCCTGTTTGTCGTTGCCGCCTACGCGTTCACAAACTGTAGCACTCCTTCGATGAAGGATGAATTCTATCACCAACTGAACGCGATTCACCGTTACAATAAAAGTAAGGATACTGTGGGGCTTGTTGATCTGAACGCCCAACTAGGCAAATTGACCTGTATCTGGGCGGCCAACGTAGTGTAGGCTATCGTAATAATACCGGTGAGCGGTTGCTGCATACGTGAAAAGGCTCGTTTTTTTGCGAGCACTAATTTTTAACACAACACTCGCAAAGAATGACTTGGTACCAACCAGCCATGGACGCAAATCGATCACATCGCGATCAGTTACCGCTGGAGAAGCTGCTTCTAAAGCTGTCGCTTGATTTGGAGCACATGTGTAGTCACTGATCATGCACTTGTATCTGCTGATATACGAGTGCATTTTGGCGAACGCCAGCGACGATGCAGTGAGCGCGTTAACACCAGTCAACTGGCGAAGCCATATACGTATCGAAGTACGCTGACATTCGAGTTGAGTAAGAACTCACTGAATAGAGTTGAAAGTCACTAGTCATGTGTTTACCAAGCTCATAGACATTGGCTCTCTACGCAGTCTCTGGAACATTACGATGTTCGCCGGCACATTCCGGCTGGATGGACACACAGTGATACTCGCAAAGACCTCGTGGCAGAACTGTGTGCTAGCCTAAAGAGAGACCGTGAATCGTGGTGGTCTCATTGTGCGTCAGAGATGGAAGTAGACGCTGTTCTTGGCAACCATCGGAACTTTTTCCGTTTGTTATGGGAAACGGGCAACAGGAGGCTCGGTATTAGTGAGACTATACGCGACGAGTGTGGACAGCCGATCCACAGCTTGTCAAAACGCTTGGAGCGTTGGGAGGAACACTTTCAGAGGCAGTTTAATCTGTAAGCTGTCGGCTTCCCCACTTGCCATTGATCACTCTACTCCCTGGGCCGTCCCTGTGGATCCGCTTTCGCGCACAGTAATGGAACAACATCAGACTGTTGGAATTGAATAACGCCGCATGCGCACATAGAATTCCCCCATCCCTCTTCGAATTTGACGGATCTACTGTGTTACATTATTTACACGAGTTCCTAGGGAAATTGTGAGAGCAGGAAACTGCCCCAATAGACTGGAGCCACTCCGTTGTAGTCCCAATTTTTAAGGGTGACTCCCATTCGGAATGCGACACTCATAGAAGGACCAGTCTGATTTCAATTGCCCCTAAATAGCTTGCGTCTGTCATTCTCCTCGGATTGACTGACACTCTTGAAAGTCAGATTCGCGAGGAGAAAGCAGAGTTTCGTAGAAATCAAGGCTGCATCGATTACATCTTTTACACCAATTGTTGGAGCATCGCCATATTTACTGGCAACCCACCGTAGTCGGGTTTCTCAACCTCAAAGGTGCCTTCGATTCGGTTGATCGATGTGCCCTTTGCGACTGTCTGCTCAGAATGTGTGCCTGCAAAATACGTAAACATTATCAGAGCGCTGTACGCACATCAATCAATCAACATCACAGTACACCAAACATTTTAACTGATGCTTCGCTGCCATACAACCATGATGCCCTATAGAATAAAGAATACTAGGAGAGAGAAGGGGGACTTACCTAAAAACGTTAATGCCCCAA